GCTGTATTTATTAAAGGCGCTGTTATGTGCATCCCAGAATATACTCAGATACCTGTCAATGTCTGTTTCAGTCGCGGTGGTCCACAACGCAAACATTTCATGTGTGTTCGTGGTTGTCAGGTGAGATTGCGGCATTTACGCTGTGATGTGTCACACCTGATTACGGATACATGTTGCCTTCTTTCTCCCCTGTGCACTGCAAATGTGTGTGATGCATGCAGGAGTGTGAGCGTGTGACAGGCACACATCAGCGGAACGTTTGGCGGTTGATGACAGCGCCGCGACCTCTGATGACGCCCTCCATTTTGTCACCGCCGACTCGCGCAGATTACCCCCAGCGCCATCTTCTTACTCTGTATGCTAATGAAACAGAGAGAGAGTAATGAGAAAAGAGTGACGGATTAAAAAAAGAAAAAAGGGGAAAAAGAAAGGCATAGGAAATGGTGCATGAAAGAACATGTGAGACAAAGTGTTTGAATGTGTGTGACAGAGGAAAATAAGAGAAAGAGAACAAAAATCTGATGTCTGTGAGCATGCACAGTGTGAGGGAGATGAAATACAGTAGGTGAAAGAGAAAAGGGGAGACTAATGAAGGTCATCAGCTGCCATATTGGGGCTCCCTTGGATAGAAATTTAGGGAGATAGGTAGGGGAGGCTCCGGTGAGTGTGATGAATATGATTATAGGTGTGTAAGTGTGTGTGACAGTAATGAATTCAGGGTGTGGAATAGAAAAGGGATATAGGTCCCTGAGAGTGTTGAATTTCAAACGGGGACACCGACCGGTCGCCGCTGCGCCACTGATCACTCTTCGTGTGTGTGTGGGTGTGTGTGTGTGTGTGTGTGTGTGTGTGTGTGTGTGTGTGTGTGTGTGTGTGTGTGTGTGTGTGTGTGTGTGTGTGTGTGGCTTGTGCCGAGGTAGTGAGTGAGATGCAGTCCGGCCCGCTGTAATTTATGTGAAAACTAACAGAGCTGTCCCGAGATGTCATTAGCTAAAAGGCAAATTTCATTATTTCGCTAATATGGAGCATGATGACTCTTTTTGATGTCTCCCTCCTTGTACTCTTCTTCCTCCCTTTCTCACTCCCCGCCTCCTTTTTGTCTATTTACCCCTCCCTTCCTCTCTCCCACTCACCCGCATTCAGAGGATCTCCTTATTCAGAGCAGCTTTCCCTTTCAAGGTTGAAGAAAATGGCCATGAGTCTGTGTATGTGTGTGTGGGGACAGTGAGAGTGATTTTCTTTCGTGGTTCTGCTGGATGAGGTGATGATGATGACTCACCTTCAGCCCACATACACACCTTGCACTCCTTCCTCCTCCCTTTGATGTGTGCTTGAGTCGATGGCTAATCAGGTAGCATCAGGCCTAGTCCTCATTTCCCCTTCACCCCGGCCCCATTAGGGAGCAGGCTTTCTGGAGCAGGCCGATAAGGACAATATGCTCTTCTTCCAGACTCTCTCTTCCATATATACCCCTAAATCTCCCACTACTCTCTCATTCTTTCTTCCTCTCATTCTGCTCTTTTCCCCCATCTTTCCCTTCGCTAAATCTCCAGTGTCTCCCTGGTTCCTCCATCTCTCATTCTGCCCCGTCACACGCTTCTCTCACCTTTCACTTTTCTTTCCGTCTCACCACCTTTTCCTAAATGTCCCATTACTCTCTTCCTCGTCTTTTCCCCATCTTAACCTCTCCACTCTCTAAATCACACACTGCACCTCCTTCACTTCCTTCCTTTTGTCGGTGTCCCTCAGCATCCATCTCTCACTCGCCTTTCATTCTTAAACTTAGTCCCTAAATCCCCGGCCACGTTCTTTCAGCCTCTTCTCTCTTCATGCACCCCTTTTTCACTACTTCCTTTCCTCTTTCCCTGTAGTCCTTAACTCTTCTCCTCTCCCTCAAATTGTCTCGTAATCTCTTTTTTCCCCTCTAGGTTTCATACTGTCTGAAACCGTACCATTTCCCCCCATTTCTCTTACCCCGTCCTTTACTCCCTGAGGAAACACTTCAGCGTTTGAGAGAAATTGGACTGATGGTCATTTTATCCATTAAGAGATGGAAACGGACACAAACATCGGTCATATGTCCCCTACATAAAGCATTAAGATAAACACAATTCATTCACAACTGACATTTAGTAAAGAGTAATCTTTAAATAAGAAAAGAAACGTAATTCATTCAAACAATATTTCAATGGGCACTACATGTAGGATCCTGTCTATTAACGATGTACTATTTCAGCCCCTTTAACCAGAGAATGAGAGTTAATAAGCAGAAAGAAATACATTTTCCAGTGAGAGCAAAGGAACATCCAATAGCAAAAATCTAATATACTCATATTATTAATTAATATATTTTCAAGGTACAGCTTTGCTTCTGTTTACTCATGAACATTAATTAGACCTACACTATAGCAAGTAATCTGTATAACTCAAGTTTAAACATTGCTTTCAGACATTTATTTATCAAACTGATCTCTTTAAATCTCTGCCTACAGATTAAAAAGCCTGTGTATTGACAGAATGTCACATATTGTTATAGTGTCGCTGTATAGTCTATAAAAAAAACCCACATAACATAAACCCACCTTTTTAAAAGTGTGTGAATAACTGTCTTTTTTCCTATTCTTTTGTTTGAGTGACCTAACTTTTAGAGGAGACATGTTGCCAGCACTCCTGTCACTCTCTCTCTCTCAGCCTCTGATGTCACTTTCTGCTCGTGCTGTGACAGAACCGCCTCTCCCACTAAAAGTCATCGTAACGGTGGCAGAACACTGGGCTAGACCCGGCATTTCTCATATGATAAACAGGCTGTTCCACATGTTGTATATGTAGGTTGTCATGATATGACAATTTTAAAAATGGCTGTTTATATTTATATATATTCCTGAAGGGCAAGTCTTTTTGGTGAGGTCCCTGTTTTCTATGAGTTATTCTCAGTTGCACAAAGACTGATGCATTTGACTTTGAAACTATGCAACAACCGTATGTGTGGAAAAGTTAGAATAAGGGCTGCACAATTAATTGAGATTTAATCGTAATGGACAAGTGCAATATTTGGTAAAATAAATGATGGTGAAAATTGTATTCTATATTAGTTATTGTGAGACTGCAGGAAAATCCGAGCCGACAAACGGTTTTCTTCGACACATTTTTTCCAAATCATGCAGCCATGATTAATATGATAACAAATATAAAATTGCAAGTACTTATTATTGTGGCATTAAAGTGGTCCAGTGGCTACACAGAGCCAAAGCTCTTCTCCCTTACCACTATTTAGTTGCTGTTACAATAAAAAAAACTTTTAGTGCAAGTCAATTACTAATTCATAGAAGTGCAATATAACAACATAAAATGGCCTCTACGGTCTATTCCCACACATCTGGTACTCTAAGTTTGTTAAACTCAAACACTAAGAATCATTTGCAAACACTAGCTTTTGCAAAGCTGCTTACAACATGGGCTGTGAACTTTTGTGTGATTATTAGCATGGGCAACCGCACAGACCTACAGGGAAGCCCAGACTGGAGCTGATCACACACACACACACACACACACACACACACACACACACACACACACACACACACACACACACACACACACACACACACACACACACACACACACACACACACCACACACACACACACACACACACACACACACACACACACACACACACACACACACACACACACACACACACACACACACACACACACACACACACACACACACACACACACACACACACACACACACACACACACCATTTGTATCTTGAAATAGGGATTAGATAACGCCTCGTAAACACTGTAATGAGTGCCGTGATGATCAACAGCAACTCTGTCTCTCTCTCTCTGCGTCTCTCTCTCTCGTGGTTGAGGGCCCAAACTGCTCACAAACAGCCTGACGCTAATTTGGGATAAAAAGGAAAAATACTGACTTGCAATATTTGTCTGGTTTACCACAGATTTCTAAGGGACCACACATACAGCAGTGAAGTACCACCCACTCTCATTTGATGAAATTAGGTTAGGAAGGAGCCTGTTCGGTGCTTTCTGCCTTTTGTGAGAGAAGAGCTCATGGTGTGGAAATTAAGAGCCTGTATGTGCTTGTGTGTGTGAATGTGTTTGAATGTGTGTTTGTGTGTGTGTGAGAGGCTGACTAATCCCTCCACAGAGCTGAAACGAGTTAAAAACACATCAAAGGGAAGCTTAACCTCTGTGAAACCTCACCGGGTTTTTCAAGAACAACAAATGATCATTCTCCTCATTGTTTCCAGGGGGACTCTTTTCACCGCTGCGCTGCTGACTTTTCCCTCAGTCCTCTGAGTTTTCAAAAAGCCTGTGGTTTCATTTTTAATGACTGTGCCGTTTGTGTGTGTGTGTGTGTGTGTGTGTTACTGTTTGTGAAAGAATATAAATGTGTGAGTGGGTGCACGCTTGTGTGTTTGCACATAAAAGACAGGTATTTTTTAGTGTGACATGACAAATGAGGAAGCTAACAAGGACATGCAGTTCTACTCGCAATCATTAAAATGTAAGACATCCTGACTATAGCTATACAACAGCTATGTATGTACTGAACCAATGAAGGATAAAAAAGGGGGTTTGGGAGACAGGTGGGGGGAGAAGGAAAGAGAAGATGGCAAGATGAGGCCTGAGACCTGCTTTCCCTAGAATTCTCATTATCACAGTATAATAGTGCTCTTGCTGATCAGATATTTGCATGCTTCTTTTCTGTTGTTGGAACAGTGCTCTTGTTCAAGTATATATGTTCGACTAGAAGCAAAAAAGAACCTAGGGTCATTTGAAGATGCCCATGGAAAGAAGGCAAGACAAATATGTCCTATCTTCGTCAAAACCTCATTTAAATAATTTCGTTTATTAGCTGGTTGCAAATATGTCATAATCTTTGTGTCTCAGCTGGCATTGTGCAATGTGAACATGTAGCATTGCTATCCTGTTGATTTATTGTCAGTATTATGAAATCAAGTGGAAGAATGTACGCCCGCGTTTTTATTTTCCCGTCGTTACAACACATGGGCTCCAAACACAGCGACAAGAGAGAAATCAATAAATAGTTTTTGAAATATAAAACAACATCTACTACAATAAACAACTAATATACTCAATCACTCATGAGCACACACTCCCCCACAGGTACTTTCAGAGAGGCAGAAGCACGCAGACACATAATGTACTCGCATAAAGACGTACGGACACATTCACCGCAGTAGATGCAGGACACATGGCGCACAGCTGCAGAGTAATCAGAGACTGTGGTACAGCCATCCACATCTGAGCTGCGTCTGTGGATACTGATGATGTGCCCTAAACTCTCCTCTAGTGTAAGACACTTAAGAATTGCAATGAGTCTTATTAGTTCATTTTAGTTGAAATAAATTGATTATAGTTCATCAGGACTGTCTGGATTTACAAATAAGTGCAGTGAAGGTGTATTTTAGTGCTTAGTGCTACAGTTTTGTTGCAATTGAAGATTATTTAAAGAAATAATTGCTACCGTTATTAGCTGCAATTGCTCATATCATTGCAGCATTTTAAGGTTGGCATCACTTCAGTATCAGATTTCAAATGTTAAGAGGTGTGAATGTTCTATGAAATAATCTCTTCATGGCACAGCAGTAGAGAAATGTTTGATTTTTGACGATTTGAGGGAATTCCATCATCATTCCCCGGTTCTGGAGCGCCCCTCAGGCAAAAGGCACCCTGGGACTTGACTTTGACCTGCAGGACATTAACCTCAAACCGAGCGCACTCCCTGGTGAGGAGCTGCAGGTCAAGAGGTCTCGACAGGTCAAAGTCTTCAGGGGGCTTCATTTGTTCAGATCCCTGCTTGTCCTGCCAGACCAAGCACCATGCAGAGAGGCAGGGGGCCTGATCCTGAACCCCCAAAGCCTGGGACTCACCTGCTCTCCCTAGCCTTGGTCTGGGTTAGAATCCCATCAATGTCCCCTGTCACTGTGTCCAGGCCCAAAGGAGGAGGAGGAGGCGGAGGGAGGTGGACTGAGGAGGACTGCTGGGAGGGGGGAGGAGGAGGCAGGGCCACTTGTCTACGCTTAGAATTCTCCTCCTCCAGCTGCCTATGCAACTGCTTGTTCTCCCTGCTGAGGGAGGTTAGCTGGAGAGAGAAAAAAAAGACCGTCAGAGAGACATATGGAGGAGACATGTTCAAACAGAAAGAATAATAATAGTTTTGAAAGGAAATCTTCATGTGTGACTTTAGAAACAGAGTGACGGAGGACGAGACTTTTTGAAGTTTCAACATGTAAACATCCCACTTCATCTCAATCAACCAAATCACAAAACTTAATTTGGAAGATAGCAATAAATATCAACCATCAGAAGTCAACAGCTATCAAGTTGATGAAGAAGCTGACATCCCATTATGTGCTTAATTCATCTTTCACAGTTGCTTTCACGCCTGTTGAAACGGAAATGCCGGTGGAAAATTGCGTGGAGGTTTTTCAGGAGAGTATTGTGTTCACAGTTTGAAACGGTTTGCAAGTAGGAGTCATGCGACGGTGTAAATTTCTACATGAAAACAACCAATTTGAGCGATCATTAGAGGTCGATTTGACACAAAATCATCCGTGACTCAAAACAAATCGCACGTCGTCAGAACATGATTGGGCTCCCCGAAACACAATTACAGACTAGCTAAATTGAGAGTGTTTCATTTTTTTTGACAGGGACATTTGGTTAAAGGTAGGGAGGTGTGTGAGTCAAAACTTGTCTTTGAAGGCAAACATTTTTTTTCATGCGTGGTAATTATATGCAAATGTGCCTGTGTCTAAAAATTGTAATAAGGCAGATAAAAGCAAATAAAAGATTTGAAATAATGTATTTTTAGCTATGAGGAAGAGAAAAATAAGAAATTATAGGACAAAGGGACAAAAAGACACGTCGGGTAATGACAGTTGCACTTATTCACATCTGTTTTTTAGTGTGTGTCTTTTGCGGTTCAAGAATGATGTCACAACGACAAGTCTGGCCATGTGTGTGTGTGTGTGTGTGTATGTGTGCATTTGAGTGTGTGTGATAGAGGGAGAGAAAAACACAAACGGAGATGAGACAGACACATTTCCGGATGGTTCTGCTAACATTACCCTTTCCACACACACACACACACACACACACACACACACACACACACACACACACACACACACCACACACACACACACACACCACACCACACACACACACACACACACACACACACACACACACACCACACACACACACACACACACACACACACACACACATCACACACACACACCACACACACACACACACACACACACACACACACACACACACACACACACACACACACACACACACACACACACACACACACACACACACACACACACACACAATGTATTACATCTCATGACTAGAAATAGCAAAGGCTTAACCCTCAAAGAGCCAATGACATGTCGATGTGTCAAAAACTATCCTAAGACGCTTAAAGAGTATTTACTATCTTCAACAGGCAAACATCCTCCAACGTGTTCATTTATGCTTCGCTAAGAGCAATAGAGTTTCCACATGAAAAACACTGAGTTTGACATTTGTAATTAACCGTATATTCAAGTGGACCCGTTTAATTTCCCCCATCTTTGGTCGCTCTGGATGATTTTCTAATTGCAGAGGAGGGGGGTGAAATTAAAAATCACAGCTTGTCCCTTCAACCTTCACATATTGCGGGTGAACTGGTGGGCAAACGTTTGGATGAAAAGGAAGTGTGTTAGTGGGGGGAGAGGGGAAGAAAGAGACAGGCAGAAAGACACGGAGGGGGGGTGTGTGTTTTATTGCTGGTGCGTGAGTGTGTTTGCACTTGGAAAGCTGGGTTTCCATTCAAATATTTAAAAATAAATTGTGAAAATTACTGAGCTAGAAAAACTAAATAAAGTGATTTATTTTTCATTGGCACAAAAGTTTTTAAATGTGGTTTGTTTTTAACAGTTGTTCCTCCTGGTTCATAAAGCATATACATCATCATGCAAATCTGTGTTAAACCTATTGAGCCAACTTATTCCAATTCATTATCACAAGTCTTCCGTTTGCATTTATAGAGTGGTGCAGTGACGCGTACTAAAACCCGGAAGTAAGCTGCGCATGGGTTCCCTCGACAAAAAAGCAATGGGGTTTCTCCATAGGATTTTGGATAATAGCTCGAAATAAGGTCTGTGGAAAAGATAAATGCACATTTTGTTCGTTTTCCACAGACCTTATTTCGAGTTATTTCCCGAAATCCCATTGCTTTTTTGTCGAGGGAACCCATGCGCAGCTTGCTTCTGGGTTTTAGGACGCGTCACTGCACCACTCTATTGTTAGTTTGCCTTGTTTGCACAAAGAAAAACATCATTGTCATTTAAAACGACTTGATGGCAGTACATAATGAAACAATTGGATTAAACACCAATAATTCAATGTAAGTAGTCATCATTCATTTTTCTTGCAAAGATTGAACATGGAACCATCCATATATTAAAAAAATAGCATTAAAAAAACACTTATCTCAACATTTTGGATGAAATAACCCCTCATTCATAAATAAAATCATTGAGAAATGGGTGAAAATGTACCTGAAGACGACACAAAGGTTAAAGGAGTCTTAATAATAATACATTTTATTTTTAGGCGCCTTTCATGACACCCAAGGACACCGTACAATTTGTTAAAAAAGGAAAAAAACGTTAATAGGCAACAGAACATGATAAAAACACTAACAGGAAATCATGGAAGTCTTGTCATATGATCTTCCCATTAAAAACAACAGAAGGAGTTTTTGAAATGTGGAAATACTCTGCAATACCTGTCGATCCATCTCTCCCTGCAGCTGCTTGTAGAGGAGATAATGCATATCCTTTTCATCTTTGCATGAAAGCATGAAATAACCTGGACACGAGCTGGTGCTAAAGCACAATAACAGCCCGCTTAATGCTAATCAAGTCTTGAAAGATTCTCAGTTTTTCCCTCTGATGTTCATCTTCATCCCAGTTGATGGAAAATCACTTTACTCGGATCTAATTTCGTGTGACATTTCAAAAGTTTGCATGAAATTAGCTTGACAGTCGGATGTAAATCATGCGTGCGCGCGTTGTTCGCCGTGTGTTAATGTGCGCCTGTGGGCGAGTGGGGAAGCAACAGCACTGAACCAGTTTGTGACTATGAGTAAATGAGACCGATCCAAAGCAGAGACACAGGCCTGATTTATAACCAGACGCTTTGCACATAGATAAACTGAGACATTCCATTCAGCTTCTTCTTTGATATCTGTGAGTGTGTGTCCAGTGAAGGGAATAGCCTTGTGTAAATGAACCGTCTACACCCTATCCCCTTCCAAGTGTGCTTGTATGTTTGTAGGATGTTGGATCGATGTGTGTAATGATTCACACTAGAGATTAAGAGGTGCTATTACACACCTGACCTGTTAAACAACACTCCTCTCTTCCTCTGCGTCATAAGTGCAGCTCACGCTCTTTTCTTTTCCCTGAAACAACATTACAAACTTCAACAAGTACCAGCTTTTGTCGTAGCCCGTCAATCAGCGGGCCATCGTGCAAACTAACAAAAGTCGGGTGAGCCGTTCCCCAGGCCCTGGAGTTTTGGAGAACTGAGGGGGCTGAGGAGTACTTTTGATTTGTCTCTCCTTTAGTGATTTGTTGACTCTTGTGAAGTAAAAAAGAATGTCAGCTTTTCCTTAGAATATTCCTCTGTGTTTTTTTCCCCACACATTGTTTTATCACAGCGGGCCATTTCCCTATGCTGTCACGGAGAGATCAGCGCGGCTGTATTGATATACATCCCTCTCTCAGTCTCATGAAAGGGAAATCATTTACCAGTGGAAAGAAACGTCACTGCTTTTTCCCGATACGATTTGTTCCTCCTTCCCTACACGCCTCCCCCCCCAACCCGCTGCTGACTTTTAACTTTTATCGTAGGAAGAGGAAATGGATGTCTGTGCGCGCTGGTGTGTAAGTGTGCGCGTGTGCGTTTGAAGTTGGACGCATGAAAGCTTCCTCTTCTGTGAGAGCTCAACAGCAGGTGGGCCGGTGTGTGGGTGTGTGCTTGTATCTGTACAAGGACTGTCAGGACCTGGTGTGTGTGTGTGTGTGTGTGTGTGTGTGTGTGTGTGTGTGTGTGTGTGTGTGTGTGTGTGTGTGTGTGTGTTTGTGTGTGTGTGTGTGTGGACTCTTACTTGTTGATTTAGCATTCCAACGGCCTCCAGGTTGCTTCGCAGTCTGGTCTGCATGTCCTCCATTTTGCTGAGATTTTGAGCAACGCAGCCCTGCTTTTCTAAGCTGAAACACAAGCATGTGCACAAACATGAATTAGAAATACATTTTTTAAGAGAATCTAAGTATTTGTAGTAGTTTAAGAGAAAGGAATCATAAAAATGTAGCTTTCTGTAACAATCTGAAACTGGCTTTTGTAGTTTATCATGAATATTTAGCATTTTCCTGCCATCGTAAACTTTTAAACTCTAGTGTTTTTACACAATATGCATTTGCAAGACAGAACAGCTCCAATCAAAAGTCCTTCGAATCTAGGGCAAAAAGAAGTTAGCGCACATCATCTTCATTATAACCATCTTCATTATAACTTATTACTAAACTCAAAGATGGGTGAGCAAATGAGTTCCAGAAATCATTAAATGATGAAAGCGCATGTAATACAGAAAAAAAAGAGAAACAGAACCACCGCAGCCAGGGAACATTAAGAGTACAAGAAGCCATTTAAGATTTTAACTGTTTATTAAAAACGTTTTTGGAAATGACAAACAAATGTTGGGGTCTGCTGTCTTCAGACCCAGGGCCGACAAAGGAATGTCTATTAAATTAACGACGGTGGATAATGGTGCTCTGTACGGGCTGAAGCGCTTGCTGCCCCCGCTTTACGCTCTTTCTTTCATGCCCCACTGAACCTGTCCAGTTAGCATTCGGAAAACCTTCTAAATACTTTATTGAAGACTTCTTAGCCCATTAAAGTACCACCGTACCTCCCCAATGTTAATTTTCTTGTAAAGAGCAAGCTGGGATTTCCTATCAGAGCAGCGGATGGAAAGACAGTCCCGTTTTGCTTCAGTTGAGAAGACGCGCACGCTCATGGAGACGCTAATAAATGACATTATTTTTTTTCCAGTGGATGTGGGTGAGCTGAAACACACACACACACAAGCTTTTGGCCCTATTAGCGATAACTTTAAACATTTAAGATCTGAGGAGACACTTGAGGGAGATGCTAATATGTGAACTGACATTTTTGCCTGAAAACTTTATGAGATTCATTAGCGGGACAATTCAGCTGCCGTGCATTTGTAGCCGTCTATAATAAACCTCAACCAAGAGACAATAACAACATTAATGGGAGCACCACTGAATTAAAACACACTCCACTGTAATATTTCTAGATATCTCTTATGGTTTTCTAAGAGGACAAGAACTTCAAACCATTTACAGTAGAACTGACAATCTGTGTTGATGTGTAGTTCCAAGCCTTTACACGTGAATATGAAAGTATATAGATACCATATTCATTTTCATTCATTTGTCCATATATGTACAAACTGAAAATGGACCATGAGAATAAATATGAAAGACTTGCATGAATACAACTGACGGCCTACTATCTGAATCACTCCATCCTATTAACCGAATGACTAATCAAGCTTGTCCAATGTAAGCATTTTTTAATTTTCTTAAAGAAACCTAATTTTCTGAAATTGACACTTATGAACTGAGGATAATTGCAGCTGACCCTTTCAAATCCTTTTAATTTCACACCATACTGACGACACAAAGAACATTAATAGGAAGAAATGCTCGAATTCCCTTTGATCTTTTATATCCTAAACGCCTTAAAAGCAAAGTAAAAACAGGAGGCGTAAACTTTAAGCACGAGCATAAAAATCAGAAGCGCCACAGATTCTTCACATGATTTAAACTCTCCCCTCGATGGTAATGTGGTCTTCAGCAGATCATGAAACATCACCGCCGCTGAGACAACTGTGTGAGATTTATGCTCCTGATGTGAGAAGGCAGCGATGCGCTCGGTGCTTGGCGTGACGCCTGTGTAAACATGTGTTCACACGCAAACATGGATGTGTGTAATTAGCGGCCTAACCCAATCAGTGTGTGCATAATTACAGTCATTAGTGTCAGAGCCAAGCTGCCATGCTCTCTAAACTACGCGATAAACTACATTGCTGCAAACACACACTCATCGTTCTTATTTACGGCTCTCATCTCAAATGTTATGCAAGACATGATTCCTATCACACAGTCTCCTTCTTATCTCTGCTGCTACTTCACTTTAGTTCTCCGTGGTTGTACAAATCCTCTGCTGTGATCACTGGCTGCTCTTAATTGGAAGCACATTGTTAATGGTGCGCCTGATGGAGCCTGATGCTTTATGAGCACCCCCCACATGGGATGAGTCACAGCAAACAGCATCAATATCCACTTCCACCACTTAATGCATTTCAATTAACACTCATATTTATTTATAATTTCAGATTATTTGAGGTTAAATGTGAAAGTGTGGATGCAAATCATTTAATCAACTAAAGATGTCATGTATTTATGTTGAGAAATACTGCTCCATGTCACAAACATGAGACATTGTTGCATTTTAAGGGCTGTTGCAGGAGGGAAATGCAGGCAAAGCATCCTCCTCCAGCAACAGGCAGGGTTTGCTAACAACTATAAAACTATATGTAAATGTTCTCCATTCATCTTCCTCACCTCTGTGTTAGCTTTACCGGCACAAACTGCCATCGACAGAGTGAAGCGGTGACACTCCAACAGTAGGGAACAGTAGGCCGTGTGATCGTAATACATTTCTTTAATAAAGGCATATCTAATGACAAAACCTTCACGCCGTGTGGATTGCTGCCAGTGATAGTGACAGAGCAGACACAATGCAGATATCTCCTTTGCCACCAGTAATGAGATTTATCCAATGTATATGGCTGCCATGCTAATATCATGACACATCTGTTGCCTTATGGATGTATGATTTTCATACATATGGCATTTGGGTTAGGTAGGTGTAGAGTGAGCAGGGCGGGTAATAATGAAATGAAATAAATTAGGAATCCTCATAATAAAGAAAATGGAGAAAGAAGAGAGAATGGATGGGGAGACACTATGGAAGAGGCTTTCATTCACTGTTTTTATCTCGTCCCATGTTATTATATTCGCTCAATCAAAACCCCTCTTATGCATACGTCTATATGAACTGCCTCTCTCGCTCCGTCTCCCCCCCCCCCCCCCTTCGCTCATTCGCAATTATGAAGGAAAGACAAAGAAAAGCGATTCATCTTGCTGTCGCGGCCCCTTAATGATATCATTAAAATGACTGACAGCTTTGAATAGCGTTGGAAAGCTACTCCAGTCAAAACAAATCTGATCCGTTTTGGAAACAGAGCCTGGTGGTTCTTGAAGGGCGGGGCTCAAAATGATGTGAGGGGGGGGTGTTAATGAGTGAGACCTGAGGGGGTCACACTGGGAGTACTGGTGCCCCCCCACAAACACCCTCTCCCACCCTCCTTTCTCACTTCCATCCGACACCCAATCCCATCTGTGCCACATTCACTTTAATTACCTTAACGAACATAACAAATATATCTCTCCTCTTCAGATGAATGCTATTTGACAGCCATGGGGGTGGCAAAGCAGGAGAGAATGGGCCCTTGATTAGAGTGTAATCATTGTTAAAGGCCCAGCGTGAATAACTTATTCAGATTCAGTGACACACACACACACACATGCAGGGAAACACAGGTGGCTGGGCCCGCGGGGTGTTTCATTCACAACTTCGCACTCCTGCTGTTATTATCATCATCAGCTTTGTTCAGGCTAGATTGTGTGTGAAACATGGTGGGCTTTTTGTTGGATATGAATGCTAAGCTCTGATCAGCTGGTGGATGCACACAAATGTAACATGTATGTACACACACACACACACACACACACACACACACACACACACACACACACACACACACACACACACACACACACACACACACACACACACACACACACACACACACACACACACACACACACACACACACACACACACACACACACACACACACACACACACACACACACACACACACACACACACACACACACACACACACACACACACACACACACACACACACACACACACACACACACACACACACACACACACACACACACACACACACACACACACACACACACACACACACACACACACACACACACGACTCACGTTCTGTCGTCTTGCCGGATGCCCTGGTCTCGGATCCGGGCCTGGAAACAATTATGAAATGAAACCTGTTTGTGATCGACACTCTTTATTTATCTCTCCCTGCTTGTACTTCATTGCTTTTCCACTTTGCACCTGTTCACCTTGAAGCGCTCCATGTCTCTCTGCTTCTTATCCACGGTTTCTTTCAGTCTCTTTACCTCCGCCTTCAGCGTGTTATTAGCGCCCTGAAGATGTCTGACGAAAGCCGGGGAGATGCAGAGACAGAGTTAAACAGAGGAATAAACACCGGCAAACAAAAAAAAAAGACACCTATTATCATCAAGGGACCCTTGTTAACATGGCAACAAATACTCCACCAAACAACAGAAATGGCGCCTGTGTTTCCGGAAGAGCCTTTAACTATCAGACGTTATCTATGACATACATACACACATTTTATGATCCATGATGATGGAGCCAGATATGTTTGCAGCCATTTATCACTTGTGGCTACTTCAGTATTTAATATTTGTATTCTCAGTATCCAGAATGTTATTGTAATACTTTATTTAAATGGAAGGGGAAGTAGGAATATCAGGTTTTTGAGGTGTTATAACGCTCTAACTTCACCTAGCTTGTGAAAGACTGTTTTCATTGCTGAATAACAAAAATGTAAGAACAAAACACACACACACAGTGGAAGTTAAGAGAGAGAGGAAGCAGCAGACACACAGAGGGTGGTGGTGCTGCTGGGCGGGGCGGGGGGGAGGGCATGGCACCGCAGGGGGGGGGGGGGGGGGATGACAGGAGAGGGCTAGACAGCTTTGATCTCTGGGAAGAGGAATATGTCACGACCCTGTCTGTGAGTGTGCATGTGTGTGTGAGTGTGCATGTGTGTGTAAGTGTGCATGTGTGTGTGTGAGTCATGATGATGCAGATAAGCAAAATCAAGAGTCCATCTTCCATAGCTTCTCTTTATAACTGGACTTAAAATCCCACTGGAAATGTTACATTCATATTCTATTTAATATTGAATAATCCATACTACTGGAGATTTGTATTTCCACATGTATATTTTCCACATGTATACATATTTTTAA